TACAAGATGCAAGACAAACACGGTTGTGTTTTACACGTTTGCAAGAGTACATACAAAGGTGAACTGTGAACCAGTGAGCAAGTTCAGTGATAAGGTAAATGTGAAATCAAGGTCTGACTCTGAATTGTGTGACGATAACGGTGTGGTGAAGAAATCTGTAGTTGCAATTGGTAAGCCATTATTTAATACTGTGCCACAGAAGAGAGTTATAGTCTCAGAGGACAGTTCTGACTCCACAAGTTTACAAGGTATTACTAGTCAGAGTGAAGGTATAAAATCTTTGGGGATTTGTGAGGAGGAACCAAAATTATCTACTTCTGTTATTAAAGAGTTTGAAATGGATGAAGTCGACCAGATAGATGATGGTAAATTGAATATTCGTGATAATGATCATGATACTTCACATTTGTCTTTGGTTGATCATGATGAGATGAGGGATATGCCTACTACTGCTAAGTTAAATAAGGGTTCTGTACAGCTCAAAGGTGAAGTAGAAATAAATGCAGTTGCAGCAGGCATGTATACTTGTCAAACCGTCAGTTTAATTAATCAGCGTGTAGCCCACCTATCATCAGATGCTATTGCTAAACCTGAGCTGATAGTAAAAGACACCAGTGGTGGTGGTCTTGCACGTAGACAACTTTCTGAAAGCCGAACAAGAACAGCTTCTGATCCACCGCTAACTTCATCAACTGGTATCAATCAGTCGCCGTTAGTGCTGTCATCCACAATGAAACAGACACCCATCAACTCAAGTATCTTGCGCAGTGACTATGATAGTATTGGTGCGTTTGAAAAGACGAAAGATATTGCTCAGTTTAGTGAGGATGAGCCAAGTGTACACGAAAGAGTAATTGTTAAATTGACTTGCATGAATAAAGGCATTTCTAGTTTCAAGTTACTATTTGAATGCTATTATCTTTGGTGTAAATTATTCTGTTTCTACGCTTGGTTGACCAGATATGTCGTGTATTTGTTCGTCATCTATGTTCTACGATACAATGGCATGAGCGTGTTACGTTCAGATTTGAGGATATAGATGATAGAAGGAAATCATCAAATGAACTCTGCGACGATTTTCCAACCTAGAGCGTCAACCTGAGAAGGGTTGTAGGCGTACTGCTGTAAGTCCTACAGTTCTTCAAGGGTAGTTTGTCGTGCCAGAATCCGCAACATTTGATGTGTTGATTGTACATATGTTTGTGTTAAATAGTTGTGTGAGTTCCAATTGATGTAATTGTTGGTTAATCTTGTTTGTGTCCGGACATTCCACAAATTACAATGGTCAACCTGTGAAGGTGTGTAGGCGTACTGGTGTTAGCCTTGCGATTCTTCAAAGGAATTCCACCAAGACATGAACTGCGAGGTTGTTTGTACTATTTGTATATACGTGTGGTGTGTCATATCAATTGGTGTATTTTGGATTCATTGTGTTTACTTGTTGTTTTCGTATCTTGTTGTTATTGCGTAATTTTGTTAAAATTTTCGTCGTGATTACTTCTGAAGTTGTTTCTAGTCTTCTACATCCGTGAATGAATTGATTGATGTTAGAGACAGCAGATGGGTCGTATACGCCGGGGAGGCTAGGCTATTGCTGAGAATGAAATACAAACGGAGATAATTGTTAGGTGCGGTCCCACACGTCGGGGAGAAAGAGTGTAAACCACTGAGGCTCGCATACGTCACCGTTACTAGAACTGAGGCAGAATGAGTGACAAGCGATTTCAGTGGTAATTGGTAGTGAGTAGATAAGAGGATGTGCGTGGAGTATCATGAGGTGGTGCTATGGTCACGTCGCATTCTGCAAGAGTCATTCTAGCAAGTGGCGATTGTGTTGCAAGAAGACGTGTCAAGAGGACACATCTAACTGGAAGGCGCAGGTCGTCATTGATGTGTGAGATTGTGCTGTGGGTATGCTTGTGGTGTGTTGGCTTTTCTGTTTGTTTTCCATTTCAGCTCTGTCCGTGTGACCCAGGTTCTCGCAATGGCATCCAAGTCAACGTGTATTGGTCGTGATGGAAAAAAGGGGTTGGATCCCTTTTTTGCCAGGGAGTGTCAATGTAGTTGAAGATTGAACGATCAATTCACGGTTGTTTGCTCAAAACCAACTTCCCCAATTTTCGCGGAGGCATCAATACGACAGTCATCGTCTCATCGGTCGCTGTTCAGAAAGAAGTCAGCAGTAAATCGTCAGAAGTGATATTGTGATTTATTATTGTAATATTTGTTCACAGACCTTAGCGGAAACATTTTTTATATGTTGGTGTTACAATAAAGAATTCTCGAGTAGCCAATCGGTGTTTTGGTTTTTGTGTCCGTTATTACTAAGCGTTTCTGAGAAACTTCAAGGAACAGCGTGAGCCCGAGCGTAGCAAGAGCTGGGCATTAACGGTTTACGAGACGTGACTGACGGGCGGTGTAGCCGAAGTGTTATCCTTATCTCGCTTTTTCGTGTGGCTACAGTGCGCCATTCATTGGCGTCCTCCTCGCTAATCGTATTAGTATTTGTCTGTCTGCTGCTCACAGGTGTGGATGAGGCTTCTTTCGCCTGTCCTTGGGCGACTGGAGCTGCAGGTTTTCGACCCCTGGTGCGCCTCTTCTTCTCGGCAGTCTTTCCATTGCTGTCACTGGAGGGATTATCCAGTATCGTGGGGGCGACCTGGGTGTCTGGAATGTGGTGGGTGTTCTTCTGTGCTGTAGAGCACTCATTTATTGGCAAGGTCGTATCGGAGACATGTGCTGTTTTGTCAATGACGCTAGTCACGTCATCGTTATCTGAGCAATAGTCGGTATTCTTCTGTGGTGGAGGACGCTTGCAGTCCATGAGCTTTAAAGCCGCACTAAGAGTAGAAATGGCTTCTGTAATACGGAGTTTAGTTGTAATACAGCAGTCGTTGCACAACCAGTTTGCTAGAGGCTTGCAGCAGCGTTTGTATGCTGCTGGAGTAAGGTTCGTGCACATACTGTGAAACCATCTCTTGCAGTTATCACACTGCATTCCTTCATCCACTGGAAACTGGCACATAGCCCTTCCGCAGCGGTTTCTTTTGATAGACATTTTATTTAAAACAAACCGGGAAAAATTAAATACAACTTCAAATATATATAACCTTTATAAATCGGTGATAAAGGCTAATGAGTGCACAAAGATAGGTATATGTAGCTATTATGTTATAAGAACACAACTTCCTATAATTAATAGACTCAAATCTGAAACGTTAACTAACTTCGATCAGAATAAACTGATTGAAAGATAAATCTGTGGACTTTTGGGGCGTATAACACAACAAAAGCCAATTATAAACGAGAGCGTGAAAATTAACTCCCTTTTCAAAGTCCGCGCGGTCTTATTCGCGACCCAGAGACATAAATGAATCACCAGAGCAAAAAGAACTAAAAAATGGATTATCTCAGAGGGAAATTCAGGTGGTGTAGTGGTTCAAGCAGGCTGCAGACTACGGCTTCACGTAAATGGCCTTCCCCCTATGTATTTATGTAACATATAAGATAGTGACTTCAGCGCTTTCAACTCCGTATAGTCTACGGCAAGGAGACATTCAGAAAATTCTCCAATGAAAACCAGAAAGAGCCCTACATTTAACTGATACATATGGAAAGCGCTAACAGTCTCACTTAAAATTTATGATGGGATTGACCGACTATGTAGTTTAAAAAATTCAGAAGATAGAGTGTGTTGCTTAGCCATATCTCTGAAGCGGGGAAAAAATGAAATGATGTTAGAAATACTGGGAAATGGTTAGAAACCAGTTTCTTCTCGTCTCCCTTTCATCGTTTTGCTACAACTCACAGATGACGACTGTGAAGTCCAAAGGTCAAGAACGAACCGTAACTTAAGCGTATACAGTGTGCACGATAGTTGTGTGCAGTTTTAAGCCATATAAGCCGACGTGATGCAGCTCAATGACACAGAATTAATAATTAACAAATAGGGCTGGACTTATTTATCACGTACTGTTGAATTCCGCTTGGAAATTTTTTTTTGCCAATAATTTTTAATAAAATTGTATTATATGTTATCTAGATTGAGGGAAATTCCCATTTTTCGCTAGTTATGTTGGTGTCCGCGTCATGTGATCTGACTGCGACACACTTTTAGCATATTGGTTGCAATGATTAGTGTTTCAGATGGAATGTATCAAAATATCATTGTAATGAGGGAGTCCGATTTCATGTATTTGGATCTAGTACATCAAGCAATAATAAGCATAAGTAACACTTACCCTTAAGGATTTCAGGTTCTCTTAGTTCCCCAAAATACACACAAGCACAACAGATTCATACTTTCCATGCGGCTCAACCTTATTTGGCTTAGATTCTCTCACAATATAATTTTTTAATGATAACAGACACACTGATGGTATATTCACATTCTCAAAAAGCTTCAAAGCTTTTTCAACTTCAACCCAGGTTCTAAATTCTCCAGGTTTAATTTGTTCTTCGAAAACCTGGCTAATATCATCTCTGATGGTGCTCTCTTTAACAGATTCACTCGCAGACATTTGCATGCTGCAAACATGAACGAGGAAGACACTTTTTTTCCAGATTTCTACATGTTATGTAAGTAACTGAGCCAACAATAATAACGGCGACCAACCAATGGACTGGAAACAACTGCTTCTGCCAGCCAAACATCTTCATGTGCATAATTTCCGAAACTTCAACACAGTACCAATTCATTAACAGCTGAAAATACTGAAACCCGCATGAATGCAAGGTATGAAACAATTACAACGAAATGAATGCACTGACCTGGTAGTGAAACCTTTCGAAACCAAAGAAATTATTCATTTGAACAGCAACGGAAACAAAAATTGAGGTGAAACGCAACATTTGTGAACAATACGCAACAAGATAAGTCGTGTATAACGGCAGGATAAACGGAACAACAAACTCGTACACGAACAGCTACGGAACTGCAATCCAACATGGCCGGCTAACATGGACGAAAATGACCTTTAAGCGTCTCACTCCACCAATGACCTTGATAAGTTACGCATAATTTCAGCAAACAAATAGTACTGCCAACTCATTGGACGTTAGGCTTGCGGGAACTTTAACTTTCGTGCTACCTGCATCCACGCTTATGGGAGAGGACCATACTTTAGACGATGTTGATTACGACAGTGAAACAGCCAGTTTATCAGAAAATGAGAATTTGGATGAGGGACTTTTTATTTTGGATCATATAGAATGGGTGAAAAATCACCGAAAAGAGAATTTTGAGCTACCTGAAACTGTTAGTGTAATTGATTGTGAGAATCAGTGTAAGGTGTATCTAGTGGGGACTGCACACTTCAGTCAAGAAAGCATAAATGATGTGAAAACAGTAATCCATTATTTGTAGTATAATTTCTTCCGACAGGTTATGGAGAAGACATATCCAGACATTGTTGTGCTAGAGTTGTGTGCAAACCGTCGCCAAACTTTGACAATGGATGAAGAAAAGATTAAACAGCATTTGAAAGACATTAACCTTCGAACTATAATAAAGAGTGTAGGTTTAAATCCATCTTCGTAGTGAAGAATTCTTTCTCATAAAACTTTGTGCAACAACTTATTCTTTTAATGTCACTGCAGGAAAATATGCGAAAGTTCCTCTTAGGTGTTGTTGGCAGCCCAAGCCATTTTTCATATATTGATGCATTTCAGGAAGTCAATGCTGTGACTGGTTGTTCCTGTTAGATCTTTTTATTTATTCTGTATAGTTGCCTCGATTGAGGACATGTTTAATACGTTTTTATGTGAATATTGAAACCAGTAAGTTGTAAGCTTAGATTTAGATTCCCTAAGTCATGTTTTGAAAGTTGATTGAGCTAAAAAAGTTCGCGTTCCTTATTCGCTATTTTGATATTGTACTCACTTTAAGAAGCTTAAGCTAGTAGGAATTTGCGAGCTTGTCAGTGATCTCCATTTTAGGTTTTCAGTTTGATTTAGCACCTGAAAATATGATTGTAGCTGCAAAGCAATGACATACTATTAAACAAAGACTATATCAATGAGTATCAACAATCGCTGTGGTCATAAGAAACATTTTCGCTCGAAATATTTCAGGAATTAAAAGGTAACATAACCCATTACATATGTAACAGGTTAATCCATTGCACAATATGTGTGCCTGTCACATTCACTTAAGTGCAAGGATACATTGTCAGGCAGCCGAATTGATGGCGGCTTCATTTGCACTTGCCTCAAGGGTTACTGAAGTTTCGAAAGTTCAAGATATTGAATTTTACGAAGCACAAAGGTAGAGCAACAATGAGGAGAAACGATATTAAACAGAAATTTATGCGAGGAGAAATAGTTGCACGAAGAATACTGAGATTGCATTTGTACAGTTGAAAATGGTTTTGAAGCCATGTCACCAATAGTTTCAAGCCATTGTTTCTAAATTTCATGAGGACTCCAGCCACTCTGTTTACGCCTTTCCATCCAAGAGTCAAAGGCTTTACAAGTTGGTATCATGTTTCCATTTGACCGTCTCTAACCCTTTTTCAATCTAGTCCTGTTTCAGCTAACAAGGACATGATTACACTCATGTTCTAGCCATCTCAACTGGTGTAGTTTCACCTTATAGGTTGACTCTGCCTTCTTAACTAACACCACACCTAACCCCCATGATACCTACCTTATTATATCAAAAGGGAGATACTACGCCATGGTCGAAGATAGCGTCGCCGTATCTTCCATTTTTTATGGACATGTCCCACAGCCATATAAAAGGGTGAAGCATATAAAGCTTAAATTTAGTTGTCAGCAGCATGCTCAGTTTGTGCACCTTCAGAATGATAATCCGTAACTGGCGTCGGTGGCACAGCGGATAGGACGCTCGCGGACCATGCATATGGTCCGGGGTTCGATCTCCGGCCTATTCCTCGCTAAGCCAGAAATAATGCTGGTAAAGAGGAAAGGTTGGACATAAGGCTAGCAACCCCATCCTGTAAAAATGAACACTGCTACAGAAACTTCAAGCCACTAGCTTGAGGTCCTATGTTCCACTGGGGAACGTGAAGGAAAATTAAAAAAAACTGGAATGAATGGTGGACAATGTATGAGGTGACCAAACATTTTTCATTTGACATCTTTATTGATTGACAATAATCCTGACAACTTTTTTCTCAATTTTGCTTTCGTCATCTTATGCTCAAGTAAAAAATGTTCTTTTTGTTTACTCAGCAAGGTCTAAGCTCAGGCATTCTACATTACCTTTTGCTTCGACTAAGTGGTTACTTGGTGGATATACTTGGAATGGCCCCTGGTGGAGAATTCCGAGCTGCAGCCAAAGAGGTAAGATGTATGTACATGTGTATGTGTGTAAGCACGTCATTTATCGTCTTGACGCATTACATTCTTAACGTTTTGGCATTTAACATATTAGGGGATATTTTAGGCCTGAATACTTATCGATATGATTTACTCACTGGAATCTGTACAAAAATAGTAGTAATAATAATAAAGTGATGTTTAATTGAATTTTAGATTTTCCCATCGATTTATTGAACCGAAGTGTTCGGTCTCAGGTTGACATATCGGCTTCTTGTGCAGATGCTTCGACGATGTCTGGGCATGTAAAATTAGAACATAAATAAAGACTTTTGATTTCTGTGTGTAATAATCGTGAATTCATATATTTTATTCTTTTAATCTTCGACAGGCAATGAAACAGCCTCACTGTCATGTTCTACTAGGAGATCGTCCAATAAATATTACACTGTATAGAGCTATAGAAGCTTTGGGTCCATGGACAAAATTGAAATTTTTTGTTTCTCTACTATTCAGTTTTCAACCTGTTACGTAAGTAATTGTTTATCAGCTTTCCACATTGTATCCTTGAGGCATATATGTATTAGTCTAACTTAATGGCCCTGCCCCTGTGACTAGATGTGCTTTCATGTTTTATGTCCAGTTTACATGTTAAGAATCTTTACAAATATATATGTGAAAAATTGTGTTGGTGAAATCTCAGCGAAATTTAAATAAATAATCCCAACGTTTCGTTTGTCAGACTGGTCCAAACTCCTTCAGAATTAAAATAGCCTCTCACTCAGTGCTCAGTTGTTGTGTCGAAGTATTCGGTGAAATCTTGACCAGAGTTCATATAAATCCTTAGAAACAGTTGAGACAAAAAAAAACAATTTCACTCTAATCATGCATTTATAGTGAACGACTTGTGCGTGTATCCGTGACCCAGCTGGAAGACCACGGGTTCAAACCCTTCTCTAACCTTCCAGTCTGGTGAATTGGGTGAAATAGTCCGCCCTCATATGATAAGGGTCTCCCCTAACTGGGTCTGTCTGTGTTTTCGACACAGAACTTTGCACCGATGTGCACCAGTTCAAGTCGCCACACTCCCTCCTTGTAGCACACAAAGCAAGAGAAGAAAGTATAAGAAATGCATATTAGAGACAGTAAACAGAGGTGTGAGACAAAGAAATAGTAATAGCGAAGAACAATAGAGTTTCACTGGAAATCATAAGCCACAAGGAATGGATGCATCTGCGCCATTGAGAACTATTTTGAGCCATATCACCGATTGTTTACAACCATTGGTTTTTACTGTCCCGAGGACCTAAACCCGGAAGTCAACATCTTCCTACGTGACTTAGACTAACTGTTGTGGATTTCATTGACTGGTGCCGTGTTTTGGTTTGACCACCACTGGCTCTTTTCCAACCTGACCCTACGCCAGCTAACATTGTGTGTTGTCGAGGAAAACGATGGCCAGGCGTACGTGTGTAACACATGTCCTAACCATCTCAGTCGATGTAATTTCACAGCCTCGTTGTCAGTGAAGAAGATGCATCCACTCTTTGTGATTTATCCAATAAAACTATATTGTTCTTCCGTGTTGCTATTTTTTGCCTCATTTCTGTTTATTATCTCTGTTTCGAATCTTTCTCTACTATCTTCCCTTACTTTGTTTGCTACATGGAGTGGAGTGTATCAACTTGATCTATTGCACATCGGTGCAAAGTTCTACGTTAAAACCCAGTCAGTCAGTCAGCTTCGATTTATATCTTGTATATTAGTTGTTTCAGTAGTTGTTAGTGAGTGTGAGTTGAATACAAAATTCCTATTTGTATATCTAATTAACTGGACGAGTGACCTATTTCATATCTTATGTAATGATACAGATCATTTTAGGTCAATTGCTTTAATTTACTGTCTTGATCACATGCATAAAGAAGTCAACTATCGTAGTTTGTTGTCAAAAGAACATTGAAATCAGCTTTTGTCTGTTTAAAGTTTAATTTGCATTTCCCTTTGATTACTTATAATGGAATGAAAAGCTGGGTTTCTGTTTGATATGTCGGCTGCTTAGTATAGTCACTTCGATGGTGTCTTCGATTATAAGCGTCTGCGTTCTGTCCCCCGTGTTAAGTGGTATAATAGGGTGAGTAATATTGATGTTAGGGTTCGGTTGAGTGTTAGGTAGAGGGAGGGAAGGCAATCGACGAGGTTGGGAAGGTGAATAAATTGAGATGTGTTATTCATGCTTAGCTATCGCCTCCCTCGACGGTCAACATTAACTGACAGAGGATTGATCAGTTCGGAAAAATGCTAGCTAGTGGTGGTCAATCCGAAACATGGCTTTATCAATCAATGAAATACATAGTTTAAGCCAGTCACACAGGAAAGTGTCAACTGCCAGTCTCTTTGAGGCTCTCAGGATGGTAAAAACTAATGAAGAATGGATACAATTGGTAATATGACTGAAAATCGTTGTCAGTGGATGGCTTAGATGCATTCACTCTTTGTGATTTATCATGTCCAATAAAACACGCTATTGTTCCTCTTCCATATTACTATTCTTTTTACCTCAATTCTTTTCATTATCTTTTCATTAACTTATCTTTAATGTCTTCCCTCACTTTGTGTACTACATGGAGAGAGTGGAAATTCCAACTGCTGCACATCGGTTCAATATGATCAATCAACAAATAATAACTTATACCCGTTGCAAAGGAGGTGACTCTTATAGAAAATCATTTTCTGTTTGGAACGATGGGTGCAGGGTTTGAGTCTGACTGGGAACGTCGTCACTCAGTCATTCAGAATGCAGATTCCTCCAGCCCTAAGTTGGACAAAGTGCGCATCCTGGACTCCACCAAAAACCACCGCAACGCTACAGCCAGTTAAAGGAATTCACAAAAAATAATGAAAATTCACTTATGATGAGAGTTGGTGGTTAAGTGGTCGACGCACTCGTAAACCTTGCTAAGCCGGTAGCAAGTCTGGTAAAGAGAGAAGGTTGGGTATGAGACTAACAACCCCATCCCTGTAGAAAAGAGAATAACATCACTGCTACTGGAACTTGAAAGCTCAAGGCTGTAAGCTGTATGTTCCACTCAAAACGCATAGGACTAAAATAATAAAAGATACACTCTGATCAACTCTCAGTCATTGTATCTAGTGATAAGAAATCCCTAGAACGGAGACCATAGAAAGATCCTATTGATGAACTGACATGGCTGCAGATGAAAGATGAATCATACAACAACGTGTATCTGATTCTATGATCCAACACTTGTATGGTCTATCCAAAGTACACAAAGAAGCTGTTCATTGTATTGTGTTCACTAATGAAATTAGTGAATCATCGTCCTTATATGTATGAATTGCGAATAATATTTTTTTACCTTGGTGAATCAGTCTTTTTAAAAAGAAACACACGGTGAAATAGAATGATTTGATCACCTGTACACATTTTGTTAGGTCGGTTCTATACCTCTAGGTGATTTTACTTAAGGGCATAAAGAAAATATACAAGTTTTACAAGTATATATATATATATATATATATATATATATATATATATATATATGAACTGTGACCTAATTAATGAGTTTATAGATCTATGACGCGAACGTGTATGCATTCATCTCATGATTGCCTACACTCACATGAACACGATGTGATAGTAAATGAAGTGTTTAAAAGTTTCGCAAGCATGTCGACTTGCGTATGATTGATGATTCTAACAGCTTACTTAGGTCAGTTCATGTAAAATTGGTTTAGAAACAATAATGCTATACTCTGAACCTTGAAATATGCAGTTTTGAAGTTCGAATCCCTCTTTTTTTGGTCTGTTGTCTGTTTTCAACACAGAACTTCACACCGGTGTGCAGCAGTTCGAATCACCACATTCCTTCCGTGTATCACACAAAGCAAGAGAAAAAAAAGTTGAAGAAATGCAAAACAGAGATAATAAATAGGGATGAGACAATAGTTTCATTGGAAATTATAAGTCACAAGGAGTGGATGCATCTGTGCCAGCCGTTGAGGACAATTTTGAGGCGTATCACCGATTGCCTCCAGCCGTCATTGGCTTTTACTGTCCCGGGGACCCCCACCACGAAGTCTACAACTCCCGATTTGGCTGGCTCAAACTAACTGTTGTAGATTTGATTGATTGATGAAGCCATGTTTTGGTTTGACCACCACTGGCTCTTTTCCAACCTGACCCTACGCCAGCTAACATTGTCTGTTGTCGAGGAAAACGATGGCCAGGCGTACGTGTGTAACACATGTCCTAGCCATCTCAGTTGATGTTGCTTCACAGCCTCGTCGATTGACTTCCCCTCCTTACCTCACACTCGACGCCTAGCCTCAATATTCCTATTATACCACTTCACATGGGCTTCATATTACCAAGTTTGACATCTATACTCATGCGAAGTGTTACAAGACCAAGTAATCACTTCAGAACACTAGTAATTATATTATTATTGTCATTGTTTCTTTTAGTTCCTAGAGGAACATAGGGTTTCAGCCACACGTCTCCATTGTGTTCGGTTCTCTGCCAACGTTTTCACCTGGCCTTCACGTCTGCTCACATACGGCTAGGTGGGCGAAAAATAAATATTCTGATTGGTTGGCTATTTGACTAGGACCCGACCACACGATGAATCATTACACCGAACGAGTCATGTACCAGGATATATCCCCCCATATATCATATATACGACCGAGACCTCTCTTCCTCTCGAAATGTTCTCATGTAGCTATGCATTTGTAGCTTCCCTCTGCCAGGTAAATCCTATTCACACTGCTTTAACTCTGTGGCGGGGTGTTCCTCACGAGAAGTGAAAGGGCGAGTTTATTTAGAACCGGACTAATGGAGACACGTATCTATTTACGGGAGCTGGAAAATCCTCATTCCACACCTATGGTGTACATGAGCTGCAGGATCTGAAAAGATGGAACTGCTCATGAACCTATTTTAGCCACTGGAGACCATGGCAACGTAGCTCTTGTGACCTTGCTCCATTGCCTTGTAAATCAAACGTCAAGTCAAAGGCTTGGGGTGTGATTGCTTAGGACACAACTACCTGCTTCTTCCTGATCATATGGGAAGTATCCCAACCCTCGCAGGAACTGTGATTTTGTGTGGCACATTACTGGGTGCTCATAAGATACCAATATGCTATCTTAATAACAATGATAATAGGATATTTCCCACAGTTATTTTGTCAGCGAAGACTGTTTTATTTATGAAAATTTATTGCTTCTCTAAATTGTAATTAGATCCCCAAATTTACTTTACCAGGTTGCGCACATCTAGTCGTCGTATTTCTGACTTGTTACCTGTAGATGTACATCTCCAGTGAGCGATAGATGATGTTCCTGTCGAGACGTAAACCTAGCACCCATTGTTTCAAAGGCCAAGGAGTTGTCTTGTATGTGACGGCAGTCAGTTCTTATGCATCAAGTATCAGTTGTTATTTCTTGGAGATATTCTGAATTTCCGAAATGTTTGACTTCTGTGAACATGTCATCTGGTAATACAAACGCTTCGACGATGTCTTGAGATAAATATGGCATTACTTGGTTGTGTTAAAGTTTAGTGTCTGCGTTCAATCTCCTGTGGTAGGAAGTATAATAGAGTGAGTAATATTGAGATTAGACGTTGAGCGTTAGGTAAGGAGGGGGAGTCAGTCAATGAGGCTGTGAAGCTATACCTACTGAAATGCTTAAGATATGTATTACGCATACATACCTAGCCATCGCCTTCCTCTACGGGCAATGTTAGCTGGCCTACTATCGATCAGGTTGGAGATGAGCTGGTTGCAGTCAAACTAAAATTTGAAATCAGCCCATGAAATCTTTCACAGTTAGTTTAAGCCGCATAGGGAGGTGTAGGTTTTCTGGTTGGGGTCCTGTAGATGCTAAGAACCAATGGCTTGAGATTGTTGGTGAAATGACTCGAAATCGTTCTTAGTGACTGGTGCAGATGTATTCACTCTTTGTGATCTGGTATATCCATGTAACTGTTTTTTGACCTTCACATTTCTGCTTATCACCGTCCTTTTGGATCTCTTCTGTCCTGTTTTGTGTGTTACATGGTGTGTGGCAACTTGAACTGCTGTACTTTTGCGCAAAGTCGTATATAGGAACCGTGTCAGTTAAAGATTCAATGAAAGAAAAGAGAAAGAGAAATAATACTGTCTTCTTATCTTACACACAGTACATGTGATTATTCATATTTTCTCCCTACTTGTGAAATAAGTATTGGTGTAGAGGGAAAATGATGATACGATCACTTATTCGCACCAGTGCACAAAGTTATGACTGAGAATGCCAGTCGTGAACAAAGGAACCATTATTTGAGATTACAAGAATTCGTTAAACTCAGCGTCCCTACCCCCACCCCCATCCTTGTATGTGCATAAACAATTTATTGATACATTCAACCTAATCTACCTTATCAGAATATATTACCAAAATAGCATAGTCAATTTTTATCCTTCTCATTGTAAAATCCTTTATTATTTTGTTTTCTATTTGACGTTTCGTTTTGGTCTGATTTTCTTAGAAATCGAATTGACAATCTGTCTATGTCGATTTTCTTCCTGACGTAGTTTCATTTTTTCTGGTTAGCTGGAAACCACAGCTATACGACCCGAGACACTTTTTCTCCGCAATTGCATTAGTCAAGTGAATTTGATGATTGAAATGTTGTATAATTGACCTTGCTACACTAATCAATCGGCTGTGCGTCGGTGGCACAGCAGTCAAGGCTCTCGTCGACCATACAAATGATCTGGGCTTTGATCGCCTACCAACTCACACCTGATATCAATTGGTCGGCCTGCAAAATTTGGGCTACTGATATCACATGCTGAAAGTTCCATACTTGTACCAAAAGTACGATGTGGAACCAAGCTATAATCGAATTGAATTGATATTTCCCACAGTTATTTTGTCAGCGAAGACAGGACTCGAGGTAAACATAGAGAAGGCGAGGGAGATGATGAAGATAACCAAGCGACAACAACCAGCACCCGTCACCATCAACAAGGGAGATTTGAAAGAGGTTACCTTCTTCACTCATATAGGAAGCACGCTTTGAACTGCAAGCGGAACGAATAAATGTGTCAAAGCTGGCCAGAATCGGAAAGGCAAGACATGCCTTCATCAACTTGAAACCAGTTTGAAAATCTCCACTCAGTCAGTATACGGAACATGATTTGAATTTTCAACACAAATGTTAAGTTGGTCCTTCAATACGAGTCAAAAACTTGCATTGCATGTCATGAAAAGGATTTCCAACAGCCAATTACAGACTTTTGCCAACAGCTGCCACCTTCTCTGGCTGGCTCCATGGTGAAGATCGAATGGCCGGCGAACCAGAAAGAATTAACAACAAGAAATAGTGGGAACAAACCAACGAAGAGGTGATCGCGCCCAACAAATTGGTAGGAGAAAATGGAGATGAATAGGGTGTACGTCGAATAACATCACCTGCAATGCAGACGATTGCTCGAGTGGAATCCCATTGGGAAGCGTCGAGTGGTTCGTTGATGCAAGGGTGACATGGAGGAGATCGTGTGTTGGGGAGGCAGAGATGACAGATTATAGTCAGTCGTGGAGCTAGCCAGATGAAGAGGACGGCAGAAAATAGAAGAAAGTGTGGATGTGCTGTTGAAGCCGTATGTTCCACTCGGAACCCAAGGGCATAATTATTCTGTCAGGACTGATGGTAATCCCCAGGTTGAAGTAAACTCTTTGATTGGAAATCGCTTGCTTAAGCAAATGGACCAAATCTCTCCTCATACAATTCATGTTTATCCATTGTGATCCTATCTAATTTTTCTTCCTTTTTTCTCTCTTCTTATTGATTTTTAGTTGATTTATTTTGGTAAATGTCATCCTCTTTCTGTTATCCTGATTAAATAGGAAAGAAGAAATTGAAGAAATGAAAAAGTCTGATTTCTTAGAAAAATTACTAGTCGCAATGGCTGGAGACCATCCTGAATTAACGTATATCCTGCTAGATGAAAGAGACAAGTATTTAGCTCGGTCTATCTGGGAGGCTACTGGGATGGAAGAATATTTAAAGTTGAAGGCAACAAAAGCTACTACCACTACCACTAATCCTACTACCGTCACTCCTAATGGACCATCCTATCATGAGGATGGTGAAGAATCTGTTCTTCGACATCGTGACAATCTTAAACAATTGGGTGACAATATTTCAGAAAAACCTACTGAAGGCGAAGACGAAGAAGCACATGAAGAGGCAACAGAAACAGAGGGAGGTGAACATTATTCCAATCATGTGACTGTTGACAATCCTCCTCCAAAGTCAAGCTGTTGTTCTAACTGGCCACCGCCAAGTGTAATACCAAGAGTTGTAGTTGCTGTTGTCGGCATAGGACATGTTGCTGGAATTAAAAAGTTTTGGCCAGTAGCGGATACAATCAATAAGGCTGATTTATGTGTGTAAGTCAGAAGCTTTTTTGAATGCAGAATATGTGATTTATTTAGTTAGATGTGTGTTATGCTTTTTGAGGTATAGTTTGAACAAAGTATCGATCTGTACAATATTTGTTTGTTGGTTGTAGCTGTGAAAGCATCCTGTATCTCAGCTAGAGCCGGTTTTCCCCCACATTATTTTTTAGTAAAGTGACGAATAAGTAAAGTAATTCTGTGAAGGCTGACTAGCAGTGCAGTATTTGGAATCCGTCAGCTGGTTGTGCTTGCAATCCGCAATGAAACTCAAACCATCGTTTCAAACACAGAAAATGTTATCGACTGCACCACTTGTGTCATAGGTCTTGTAGTGTAACCACAGCTTCAGCTGATGGTCTGACTTGCATATCAAAATGTTACAAGTAGCTACACTGTTTGAAATAGATGTTTCTATAAATCTTATTATACTAGAAAGGTCCTTTGGATAGGGTATGAAAGCGAAGTTGTACTGCTGGTGTGAAGTTTTGGTTCATTGGTCTACGCGCTGGGTCATGATTCTAAATCCCGTTCCACAGGGTAACGAGATTTTGGCAACTGCATAGTACTATTAGCCCTCACACATTAAGTCTGGCTCATTGCTGACTGTATGGATTTGCATATTGTTTTTGAGTTACTTTGATTCACTTGTACTACTGGGAGGAAATACGGATGTAATAGGAGTAAAGTGTTTCACATTAGTTTGTTTATTAAATATATTACAGAGTGAAACGGTATTATTTACTGGATGACGAGGTTTCGAACAAAATTTATTGAGCTTTATAATCATATCAATCATAATCACACGACTTAGAAACTTGAGTTTTATAGTTCTTATTGTTCTCTCTTATTCGTTGTCGTTGGAATAGTAGAATTTTCCATTTATCTGGGTGGACGGGTGTTCAATTATTCCTATTACACGTGTTTGCAGTTGATTCGATAGACAAAGCTTCCGTAACCAATCTCTCCCTCCACCCTGCTGTTACATTAAATTTTAAAACTCTCATCTTATCCCATCCATCCTATCGTATCGTTGTGTGTAATTGCATGTAGTGAGTGGCATAGCTGAACCATATTTATTCGCCAGGTTTCTTATCTTATTTGGGTCAACCAATCTAGATTTTGCTAGGTTTTAGTGCTCGGCTAGTCTGACTGCACCTGTTCTACTACTTTAACGTAGGTATTTGACCTGACAATCATCGCAGGCAGAGTATTAGATAAACTAAATTGTTTTGTTTTAAAGGCTCCACCGGATCCTTTAACCGACAAGGCTTGTTCCTAATTGAGCTTGTGGGTTTGAATGCCAGCCACTTTTAATTCCTGCCTTGTTAATAATTCTGCGTAAGGTTTCCGAGGCTCCTTGCTTGTATAGAATTACTACTGATGATTTAGATTCCTTATTGTTGGTGTTGTCTTGCGCATATTTGACATGCATGTCGTCAATATTATTATTACCATTAATATTATTATTATCACTAGTATTACTATCATTATTTTATTTTTACATTTCCCTACATACTTTCTGACTAATTTATCAGGGTAATTATTAAGTTTCAAGGCTTCTCTTATATGTATCACTTCCTGTCTTAGAATTCCCTTGGTACTACTTAGTTTTTGTGCTCTATTATGTAAACATGTCACCAATCTTATTTTCGCTGATATAGGATGGGATGATCAGAAGTCCAGATATCTGTTTAAATATGTGGGGTGGAGGGAGACATTGACAGCGGAAGCTTTGTTCATCGAATCAACTGCAAATACGTGTAGTAGGAATGATTCAACACCTGTCCGCCCAGACATCTGGTAGTTCCTACTACCCCAACGACGACAAATAGGAGAGGACAAAAAAAACTATAAAACTCAAGTTTCGAAGTCGTGTGATTATAATTGATGAGATGATTATGAGTCGCAGTAAATTGTGTTCAAAACCTTGTCATCCAGTAAATAATACTGTTTTGCTCACTGTGTGGTGATATATCTAATCAACTAACTAGTATGGAATTACCACCACGGTGCCCAAGTTTTACGCAAAGATTAATAGGAGTAAAGTGTTTCTGTTCGATAACCAGCAAGACAGTTGTGCTCCCTCTCTCTGCTCTTGAAGCATTAAAAAAGGTCAATGTTGGAGGCTGTACATCTGAATTTACGTTGTGACGATTCTAAGTCGGCTGTAGAATCTTCAAGTGTATACAATTTCAAATAGATGATGTGTGACTGGCCTCAAGCAGTTATTCACTGAGGTGTCACCCAATACTTGATGCTGTTTCTGTTTCACTTCAAGACACGTCAGTTTCTTACCCCTGACTGTAGGATGAATTTAATGTATAAAATAAAGGATAATAAATGCGTTTCCCGTGTTGTATGCAATCTATTTTCTTAAACAGTTAATTACCGCTTTTAAACCCGGCTGGAGACGCTCTTAAAAGTGTTTGAGAATAATAACTGTCTGTCTGTTTTCGACATAGAACTTTGCACAAATGTGCGGAAGTTCAAGTCGCCACATTCCGTGTAGCACGCGAAGCAAGAGAGAAAGTACAAGAAAAGCATAATAAAAACAGTGAGCAGAGGTGTGAGACAAAGGAGTGATAAAGAAATACAAAACAGTTTCATTGAAGATCATAAGTCACAGGGAGTGGATGCATCTGCGCCACTGAGAACGGTTTTGAGCCATGTCACTAATTGTTTCCAACCATAGATTTTTACCGTCCCGAGGACCCCAGCCTGGAAGTCTACACCTTTCTACGTGGCTTAGACCAACTGTTGTGGATTTCATTGACTGGCGAGGCCACGTTTTTGTTTGACCGCCGCTAGCTTTTTTCCAGCCTGACCCTATATCCGCTAACATTGCTCGTCGAGGGAGGCGATGGCTTGGCATACGTAACACATGTCCTAACCATCTCAGTCTTTGTAGCTTCACGACTTCGTCGATTGATTTCCCCTGTTTACCTAGAACTCTACGCCTAACCTCCATGTTGCTCACCTTATTATGCCACTTTACACGGGAAATAGAACGCAGGCACCTATGATCAAAGACAGCTAGTCTTTTCATGTCTTCCACTCTCAGTGGCCAGGTCTCACAACCATAAAGGAGGACAGGGCGGACTGATGAGCAGTACACCCGCCCTTTGGTCGATAGTCGAACATCTCGTCTACGCCAGAGTCGGCGTATAATAATAATAACGAATCACTGCGCCCCTTCTCTCTATTTCTGGAAGTAGCATGAAGTCATGAATATGCTTCTTAAGCATACTTGGGAAGTATGCTTGCCTACTTTCATTATAGTGCTCCTCAGTTATTCTACTTATCCTGCTTATATTGTATTTTGTTGTTTTTGTGTGACGCATCTCTTGGCGCCCATATTGTACCAGTAAAAATAGGACGCAGATTGGTGATAGGTGGTGGTATTTCTAGATTGCACATAGGTGTAAGCACAGCTGATTGGTTGATGGTAACTCTCTCTACTCGATAGCTGTGTCACACGGGTTGATCGTTGACGAAATCTCAGCACTTGCCATCTCTAGCGTAAATGTGGTATCCAGCTGGCTAACGACCAAAGGACGTACATATTGCTCAGCAGTTCGCCCTGTCCTCCTTTATGGCTGTGAGTGATACATGTCTATTGAAAGTGGAAGACATGGAAAGCCTGGTTAGCTGTTTTTGATCATAGGTGCCTGCGTTCTATCTTCCATGTCAAGTGGTATAATAAGTTGAGCAATATTGAGGTTAATCGTCGAGTGCTAGATAAGAAAGGGAAATCAATCGACGAGGCTATGAAGCTACATCGAATGTGATGGTTAGGACATGTGTTACGCATGCCTGCCTAGCCATCGCCTTCCTCGACTGACGGGCAATGTTAGCTGACATAGGGTCAGGTTGGAAAAGAGCCAGTGGCGGTCATACCAAAACATGAGATCAGTCAAGTAATTCCATAAAAGTTAGGTTAGTTCAGTTACATAGGGAGGTGTAGACCGCTTGACTGGTTGGACTTGACTGACTGATTTATTTCAACGTAGAACTTTGCACTGATGTGCAGCAGTTGGAGTCACCACACTCCACTTAGCACACAAAGCAAGAGTAGGAAGTAAAAATAAATGCAAAGTAGAGACAGTGAACAGAGACATCATAAGGCATAAAGAATAGTAATATTGAAGAACAATATGATTTTATTGTATATGTAAGTCACAAGGAGTGGATGCATCTGCACCATCGCTGAGAACGATTTCGACCCATATCACTGATTGTCTCCAGCCGTCCTTGCTGTTTACCATCCCGGGGACCCCTACGTGACTTAAACTAACTTTTATGGATTCGATTGACTGATGAAGCCATGTTTTCGTCTGAACACCACTGGTTAACTCTTTTTCAACTTGACTAATCCTAAATCAGCTAACATTGACCATCGAGGTAGGCGATGACTGGTTGGGATCCATGGGATGGTAAGAACCAATGAAGACTGGAGACACTTGATGATATAACTCAGAATCTTTGTTGTCTGTGCTTTGAATCTCTCTTTACTGTCTTCTGTTGCTTTGTATGTTACTTGGAGATAGAGAGGGAGAGAGAGAGAGTGGAAACTCCAACTGCCGCGCATCTGTGTAAAGTTGTCTTTTGAAACCAATCAGTCAGCTCTGTGTCACATATCCCCCATCCTGGTTATTTCCTTGTCCATACTGTTATCATTGTTCACATTGCTCAACAGTCAATTTTATAATGTTCATTCTTATTCATCCTATTCTTGTTTTCTTCTTCTTTATTTTTCAGCCTATTGAAACCTCCTCTATCTTGGCGTATATTTAAATGGATATTACGAGGAGTTTTACTGTCTACAGTGCTTGGAATTAGTTATGGTGTAGTCCGGTGTACTTATACACTTGGAGCATATACTTATAGGCAAATGTTCATGTAAATAAATAAATAAACGACTACCTCTAGTCATTCATTGGTGGTGCGTATGTGCATGGGTGCGGTGGTGTTGTCGTCGTCGTCGTCGACTTTGCCGTTATTGTTGATTCTGAACTGTGATTTCTTATTCTGTTTCGGCCGAAAATGCCTTTCTTTTCTAACCTGTCACATTTTTTTAAATTTCAATTGCTCTGTATTCACCGTGTGAGTGGTAAACAGACATATATATATGTGTGATGTCTCGGTTGTACATTCCCTTGGTTATGGGATCTCTTTTTTATATGGTTTTTGAGATAAAAGCAAAAAAGACTTTTTTGTCTATTTTAGATGAATCTTTCAACGACAAAAAATATATACAAATATACGTTTTATTTTCGAAAATGCATTGTGTAATCCCCATTCACAGATGTCTATATATGCATTTGTATAGGTATGGGAGACAGAGAGTGTACCATCAATGTGGAACGAAACCATTATCGTCCCCATCTTTTTTAAAAAGGGTCGACGTAATTCGTGTGACAATCATAGGAGTATCAGTCTGTTACCAGTCGCGTCTAAAATATCGGCTGCTGTCTTGCTTCGCAGACTGTGCAAAATACGTGAAGGATTGATTCGCGAAGAACAGGTTAGGTTTCGTTCAGGTCGTGGATGCATTAATCGTGTGTTCACCATTCGTCAGTTGTTGGAATACTGCCACACGTATTGCAGGCCAACGATCGTTGTGTTTCTTGATATTAGGACTGCCTTCGATTCGTTGGACAGAACTGTGCTCTGGAACTGTCTGTTAGAGAGAGAGATGTGTACTTGAGAAATTTGTTAACATCTTGAAAGCCCTATACAAAAACACCTCAGGTAGAGTGAGGACATACAACCAACTATCATCACTGTTCCCAACCAACAGTGGGGTTAGACAGGGTTGCTCAATCTCTCCATTTCTCTTTAACTTTGCCATCGATTACATTCTGGAGTCAACTCTGAAGGATGTGCGTGAAGGTGGTGTAGATCTGCTACCTGGAGATAGACTTTTCGACCTCGAGTATGCAGACGATATCGTTTTACTGCGAGATAGCATGGAGGCTGCCCAAATTGCACTTAATCAGTTGGCGATCAGTGTCTGTAAGTATGGTGTGTGCTTTGCGCCGTCTAAGTGCAAAGTACTGTTACAAGATTGGCAGGAGCCTGTACCTGCACTCACTGTTGCGGGTGAACCGCTTAAAGTTGTTGATAGGTTTGTGTACCTGGGTAGTTGTGTGAGTGCTGGCGGAGGGGCGACGAATGAGATTTCCAACCGTATAATGAAGGCTAGGGTGGCATACATCAACTTGAGCCACCTCTGGCGCCGTCGCGACGTTAGCCTGGCTGTCAAAGGTCGGGTATACAATGCTTCGGTGCGGGCTGCTCTGCTCTACGCCTGTGAAACCTGGCCTCTCCGAGTAGGCTGAGGATGTTTGGCGACTCTGCGTGTTCGATCATGGCTGTCTCCGCAGGATTGCTTGCGTTCGGTGGCATCATCGCGTAAGTAATTCTGAGGTTCGGCGGCGTATGTCTGAGCACAGTGGAGATTCACATTCATTGAGTGTCGTCATCTGGAAACACCGGCTCCGGTGGCTTGGACATGTGCTGCGAATGTCGTCCCAGAGGCTTCCGTACAGGTCTCTGTTCGCTAGCCCTGGGACTTTCTTCTGTTGCTTTGTGTGCTACATGGAGTGTGGCGACTTGAACTGCGGCACATTGGTTCAAAGTTCTATGTCGAAAACAGACAGACAGTCCTGGAACGGGATGGAAAAGACGGAGAGGTGGTCAGTCCATGACGTGGCGTCTTTGGATGAAGGATTTTTGTGCTAGATTAGCATAGGTCGGTGTGTCACGACTCGGTTGGTGTCCGAGAGATAGCTCAAATCGATGGCTCGAAACGTTATCGGATATGGCCAAGAATCGTAATCAATGGCAAACGTGTTGCAATTTCCTTCTTTCTTCCTTTCCCAATGATAGTGAACGTACACTGTTTGAACTTGTTAAGCATGACTGTCTTCCTTCCAGATGAAGTTCCTTATCCGTTCTCTACTTATTTTTTCCTTTTGATCTACGTTGTTTTATTATTATTTTGTGACGCATCCTTCTTGGTGCCATATTGTACCAAGTTTTTTATGCGTTTATATAAATAAAGAATAAAATATTGGTATAGCTGTTGTTCACTGTTTATGGTGACTAGAATGACAGTGCATACAACTGGAGAGTTTTTTGGTAAAATAGTGATTACAAAAGGCTCCTGTGTGACATCTGCCAACCTGCATCGTTTTTTTAGCGTTGATGTAATATCTGGCTATTGATCAAAGAATGTGTGTGTGTGTGTATACACTGTCTAGCTGTTCCCCCTAACCTTATATATGACTGTGTGACGTGGCCTTTGAAAGTAGAAGATATGGAAAGGCTAGTTGTGTTTGTGGCCTTTGAGAGTGGAGGGCATGAAAAGACTAACTGTTTCTGATTATATGTGCCTGCGTTTTATCTTCCGTGTGAAGTGGTATAATAGAGTGTGGAATATTGACGTTAGGCGTCGAGTGCTAGGTAAGGAGGGGAAACCAATCGACTAGGCTTTGAAGCTACATCAACTGAGATTGTTAAGACATGTGTTACATATGCCTAGTCATCGATCGCCTTCCCCGACGGGCAACGTTAACTCACATAGGATCAGGTTGGAAAAGAGCTATCCAGTGGTGGTCAAGCGAAAACATGGTTTCATCAGTCAATCAAATCCACAACATGTAGTTTAAGTCATTTAGGAAGGTGTAGACTTCCTGGCTGTGGTCCTCGGGACGGTAAAGTCCAATTAAGGCTGGAGACAATTGGTGAAATGGCTCAAAATCGTTCTCAATGGCTGGCACAGATGAATCCACTCCTTGTGACTTACAGGATATAATGAAACCATATTGTTCTTCGTTATTACTATTCCTTTTGTATCATATCTCTGTCTACTATCTCTATTATGCATTTCTTCTCCTGCTTTGTGTGCTACGTGGTGTGTGGCTACTTGAACTGCTGCACATCGGTGCAAAGTTCTATGTTGAAAACATACAGATCATAAGTGTCTGTGTGATATCTCCCGTGTTAATTGATGTATTATAGTGAGCATTAATGAAGCGGCACAGCGGTAGAATGCTCGCCAACCACGCATGTGGTCCGGGGTTCGGTCGCCGGCCACCGACGCACTCTTTTACCTCACTAGGCCAGTAATAAGACTGGTAAAGAAGAAAGGTTGATCGGGCATGGGGATAGCAACCCCATCCCGTAAAAGTAAACACCACTGTTACCGAAACTCTAAGCCTCTAGCTCCAAACCACCCTATATTCCACCGGGAACGTAAAGGAATAAAAAAAAGAATCAATGAGATTAGACGTAGACTGCTAGTTAAGGAGGTCAGTCGATCAGGTTGTGAAGTTACAACAGTTTATATGGCTACGGAATACGTCACGCATATTGATCCACTGCCTTCTTCGACGAGTGTCAGATAACATTAGATTAGTTAGGGGTGGGGAGACTAAAACGCGGCATCGAATCCATTGTGGTTTCAGTCAGTCACGTAGGGATGTGTAGACTTCTTCGTTGCGTTCCTGTGGGTGTTAATAACCAATGGCTAGAAACTGTTGATGATATGACTCGAAACTGTTCTCATTGGTGTAGATGTATTGGCTCTTCTTACCTCTGCATTTATGCGTTATGTGGATTATTGTGTCTTGAACTATTGAAGTTCTCTACAAAGTCCTGCGTTGAAATTCAAGTCTTGGTTACAGGATTTCATCATCAGCTGACACATCCGTTAGAGAGAACTATCGAAAAACCTGAGATTACTTGACAACGTTGAAACTTAGTGAGGATATTTAATCTCGAAATATGTGAGGACAAATACTCGCCGAAGACATTGGCTAGTGGTCACGCTATATCGTGAATTGGCAGAAGTTAGAATTCATAGTGGCTTAGTAAGCTACAAGCTTGCCTTGTAGCTGGGAGGTAGGTCCTGGGTTTGACCCCCATGTGGTGGTGGTGTACCGTTGAAAAGCTCTCAACTTGGACGAAATTGCTGTTCAATACTCACAGGCTTGTCAACGGTTCTCCAACTGATATCAGCTCGTGACGAATCCCGTAATTGTTAGTATTGACATTGGTTTTTTAATACGTCGAATCGCTACGATTAGAGAAATCCAAAGTTTTATGTGTGTATTTGAGAGAGAGGTGTGTTTCAATTAATAGTGTTCTCTGAGCTAGTTGGTTTAGTTGCGGAGCTTTCGTCGTCCTTCTGGACAACATCTTCAGTGCAATATTTAGCATAAAGTGAATTGATTTAAATGTATTTCAATAATTTGTTAATAAATTACACTAAATTTAAAACGTGTGAATATTACGGTATGCAGTAGATTCAGTACTAAATTGAACGTTAGAAATCAATCACGCTTACAGTAATGAGTAAATATTCCATGATTAACGTCCAGAATGAATTTTATTCAGTCTAATCATAAATTTCATGTGAAAGAAAGATAATATCGAAAACAGATTAGACAATGGGGTAGCAGTTTGTGTGGAAAGGTGTAGTGTGGCGAGAGCTGTCTACAAACCGAAATTGTAGGCAACAATTTACGTCAGTGTTTACATCCCGAATCGGGGTCATGAGAAGCAAAACAATAACAAAGCTTGCTTGACCTTGAGGAACTCGCCAACCAATCGTAGAAGACTTAGCGTGTGCAAATATGATTCGCAGATATATCTACAAGAGCAAAAGCTTACGTTTTCTCCACTTATGCCTAGCCGGGTGAAGCTCAAGCTATACATGGACAAAAACGTCTTGTTAAACGCCTTTCTTTACTTTGGTCATAGTTATTTGTTTTTATTTTATTATATTTTATCACTTGAATTCATTCCACTTCACTTCATCTTCGCCGTCTTTACTGTTATCATCTATGTATACCACTTGACCTACCATCTTAAAATCTCTTTACCAGTTCAGTTAATTAAAAGTGTTGTAATTCATCCACTTCAACTCTACGCCTCCACCTTAGTACATCATTTTAATTATCTTTATTCTTGTCATCATATGTGCAATATTGATTGAGCAATTTCTAGTGCCACTTAATGCCTTTGTGTCCGTAATATAAATACGACTGGTTGAAAATGAAGTCGTTGAAAAGAAATAGTATTTCTTCACTGAACAGAAAGTGTGTTTTTCTTTACGAACCAATGGGTATATTTCATGAGTTAGACAACAGCTGGAAACCAAGGAGTACTGGACACTGGAGGTTGAATCCAGTCAGGTCCATCAAGTAGAGAGTAAGCACAAATACTCAACGATGACACTGGCTGGTGCTAGTCGCGTTAAATTCTGTGGAT